ATGAAAAGAAAGATTGTCCTGATAATCTACAAGAATATTGGACAGTGCGGGAAGAGTTGTCAGAATCTGATGGCTTGCTTTTTAAGGGAAATAGAATAATCATCCCAGCTTTACTACGTAAAAGAATATTGCAGAAAATACATGTAGGTCATCTCGGTATTGAAAAGTGTAAGCGGAGAGCAAGAGAAGTAGTGTATTGGCCGCGTATAAATCAAGATATAGCTAATGTGGTAAACAATTGTAACTCATGCTTAACATACCAGAGACGACAAATGGCAGAGCCACTTCAGCCCCACCAAACCCCAAATCGTCCATGGGAAAAACTTGGGGCAGACCTTTGTACGGTTAATGGCAGGGAATATTTAGTCATTGTAGATTCTTTTCGCAATTTATCGAGGTTTGCATGCTGCACAGCACAGCTAGTGCAGCAGTGATAAGTAAGATAAAGTCTGTGTTTGCAAGGCAGGGAACACCTATTGAATTGATGACCGACAAAATGCCTCAATTTAACAGTGCTGAATTTAGGCACTTTGCAGCTGATTGGGACTTTGTTCATACGACTTCTAGTCCTCACTACCCCCAATCCAATGGACTGGCTGAAGGAGCAGTAAAGATAGTAAAAAATTTGATCAAAAAAGCAGTTCACAGCAATCAAGATATCATGAAGGCCCTGCAAATATACCGTAGCACCCATTCATCAGTACCTTGTGAAAGACCAGAATCGGAAGATGAAGATGAAGAAGTCCATTTACAAGCCAATGTAAATAATAATTGTGATAATGATGGCGATAGAGATAATACTCATGCAGAAGATATAAGCGCCCCACGACGTGGTGAACGCGATTGGAAGCCAAATCGTAAATACTTTAACAATGATTACACTACATAGATCACTCTTATACTGAATGAATGACATGGCATTAGTTTTAAATAAGGACCATGTATTTTGTTGTTGTTATCATTGTTCTTTTTTTTTTTTTTATTATCTTGCAGAACTATCCCTTTGGTGTTTTTGATGGGGTTTGTTCAAAATTTAGTATTTAGGTTATCAGTTTAATTAGAAAAACAAATAAATGTTTCGTTGGAATTGTGTTTATCCTTATAGGAAGGAAGATGTGTTGATTGTAGTATGCAATCTGGAGAGTGAGCCCTCGGGTCAAGCGGAGGCAGATAAATAAAGATGGCGAGTAAGACCATACTGAAATAAAACTCAATAGAGTCCGTTGTATAATGTTCTACTCCGTAGATTGCCCCGATTTTCAACTTTTATAAATAAAATATAATCACGATATTGTAATACCAAAATTAAATTCCCGGAGGATACTCTGAAATCTATGGCCCTACAGACGACGAGGCTACGCAGTAGCGCATGAAAACATGACGGATTGTGAGACGCAATTCGTTTATTTGTATTGTTTATTGTCGATATTGTAAACAAATATGTAAATATAGGCCTATATATTATTAATTTTTTTAAAATTTTTCGCTCTATTTTTCTAAATCATTTTTGAATTCTGTATTTTTCTGTTTTAATTTTCGAGTAACTGCTAATCATATATTTTTATACATTTTCTGTCCGTCTTGTAACCATGTTCTTTGCGAATGTCTCTCTTTGTCTTCCTTGCATGTCCTGTTAAGGATGAGTCTAGTGCCTCTCTGGTCCTTTAATATCGTGCGATGTTTTTTTTTTTGTTTTTTTTTTTCGATTTTGATTCTATATGTTCTTTATGTTGAATTTAAATAAAGTTATGAAAAAAAAAATTACACCGGTGATATCGTAGTTATATCGAACAAACGCTTGTTTATGAGGCTGACACCGATCATATGAACGGGGTCACCTGATAGAAAACAAGCGCTTCAACCCGCAAGCTAACACCGACAAATGACCGGATTGGCAAGGCTCTCATCCGATAGAACTTTCTGTTAATTGCCGCATGTTGATTGCAATAACTTCAGCTTGACCACGGTCTCGTTTTCAAGGAAGTTCTACTAGGCCTAGCTATATATATATATATATATATATATATATATATATAGATTAAAAGGCAAAATACTGGAAAACAACAATGCTGTGAGAAACAATGGCTGGATCTCAGTAGAGATACAAAAATGATAAGCAACAGCTAAAAAGTAAACGTAAGTAAACAGCCAAAAATAGAACCAGAGCTTTCGGACAACACTAGTCCTGTCTCTTATACACATCTAGATGTGTATAAGAGACAGTTTATAAACTGTCATTTATATTTTATCTATTAGAACTTTCTTAAGGATGTTTTTCAAATTCACACATAACTTTAGCACCTTTGAATATGATTTAATGGATACTTGCGCTATAGAGGTGAATTTGACTGATTGATTGATTGATAACCGATCATATTATGCCTCTTTACCCTTTCTGAATCCATGTTTAGTGCATGTTGAATTGGTCGTATATAGACTCTACATTGACCTGATTTTTCTTTTATATTCAGGGGTGAATATGCCCCCTAATTGGGGTAAGCTTTCTTCCACTCCCAAAGCATATTATTATCTCAAAACCCCCAGCATCCCTCAGCTTGGGAAAGTTAGCATATAGTACTTCCTGGAATTCATCCGGATTTATACTGTTATGTTTTTTTCACCAAGCCCAGCTTCTGCTAGTTGTCGCTTTTGCCAACATTTTGGTGTTATCATTGTCGATGGATCTGACAGGCAAACTATCTTCCGAGTCCATGGCCTCTTCGAGTGCTTTCCTTTTTTTTGGTGTAGGGGCTGTGTCTGGCTGGCATAAATCTAGACAAAATGGATCCTATAAAATACAGAACAGGTAAAAAAAACATTGAAGTAAACTTAAGGTGAATTAGGAGCACATTTCAGATCATCTGTAATAGTGGCCTACCTAGAAAAAAAGAATGTGTGATATTTAAGGTCTGATGTAAGACCTGTCTCTTATACACATCTAGATGTGTATAAGAGACAGATTATATTCTTCCCTGTCAGCCGCACACAA